TTTGAATGGCCTTTTCCTGACAATCCTCTCCAGGCTGCTGTCATCTCTGCTGCTTGTGCACCCTTTTCTTCCACACTTTTCCCTTCCACATAACTTTCTATTAATGTGCTTTGATACAGCACTTTGGGAACATCCAACTTCCTTCGCAATTACCTTTTGAGGCTTTCCCTCCTTATGGAGGGTGTCAATGATGGTTTTCTGCACAACTGTCAGGTCAGCAGTCTTCCCCATGATTGTGATTCCTACAGAACCAGACTGAGAGAACATTTAAAGGCTCAGAAACCCTTTGAAGAAGTTATGGCTTACTTAGTTGATTAGAGTGGGACACTGTGAGCCTAGAATATTGCACCTTTTCACAATATTCTAATTTACTAAGATTGTGGATTTTGGGTTTTCATGAGCTGTAAGCCATAATCATCGTGCTTATGACAAATCACGGCTTGAACTATCTTGCTTTGCATGTAATATGTCTATCTCATATTATTTTCCCCTTTTATGTTGCATTACTGAAATAAACAAACTTTTGCACAATATTCAAATTTTTCGAGTATCACCTGCATATACTATATGTTGCATCCTCCATTCTTTCTTTCTTTTTTTTTCTGTTATTTTAATCCACAGGGGTTAACCCCCATTTAGGAGGTTTTGCACTGGCTCCAGTTCTCCTTTTTTTCTATCCTTTTTATAAGTCCTATACTTTTTATTAGGTTGGCTAGTTTAGAGGGTGTCATTTGACAACCATAATATGGTACTGTTTCTTTTTGTGCTCGTATTCACAGTCAGTTTGATAAATTCTATAAATCATTGCAGTTCTTTATTATTTGTCAGATCTCTAGGATATTCCTTTTTATTTTCCTGTTTCTTTTATTTTTACGCACTTTTTCAAGTATTCTTGGACTTTAGTATCCACTCTGCACATTGATATTGCTGTCATGTGATCCACATGAAGCTATGATGTCATTAGTTATTCTTTCTTCTTTTTTTTCAGTTAAATAAAAAAGATGATATTATGTATACCTTTTTTCTTACGTTTTGGTTTCATCGTTGTAATGTTGGGTTTCTTGTGATTATTAGGTTATTGTCAGGGTACCTGTGATTACTGCCCTGGAAGGAATCCAGCCTGTGGGTCTTCTCCAATATGATGGGGACACTGTTCCATTCCCTTTTCTCATCTCGACTGTTCAGATGCCAGGTGCGGAAGCTCCGCCACTGTTAATGATACGGCACATGTGCGCAGATGCCATGACATCACGGCCCGCCGAAAATGTCAAATTAGGACGTTTAGAGGGCGTGGTCATCACCTAAAGAGCCAATCTATAAAAAGTACTCACTTGCAATGAATCATTGCCTGTCGTGGTCTAGCTTGTCTTTTCTTATTTTGGTTTTGGTTTTGTTTATTGGTATTTGACTTGGCTCTGATTTTGACTATTCTGTGTTCTCCTTCTCTTTGACTTGGCTTGTTTATTCGCTTACCTTTTTTCTGGCTCCCTCGACCTTGGCTTGTCCCTGACTATTCTGTTCTTTCCGATGTTAGTCCGGCCATTCTATTTTTGCATTCCGCGTATTGGTTCCCTGTGTCGATCCTGACATTACGAGGGGACTTTATGGATCCTGCAGGTACAAACCCTCAAGGTGGTCCCTATGACTTCCGATTTGAGGCAATGGACTATAGAATGGACCAGATCACTCTGGCCTTGCAGACATTATTGTCACGTTTGACCACTCTGCAAGAAGAGAGTCAGGTTTCCCCTACCGCCCCCATAGCAACAGGCTTAGAAGTGGCAACAGTTAGTGTCTCTTCTCACGTTACCTCACTGCTACACTATGGTGGGGCACTGGATACTTGTCATGGTTTTTTGAACCAGAATAGTATTCATTTCAAGTTACAACCCAGTGCCTATCCAACAGACAGGGCTAAGGTTGGATTCATAATAACGTTATTGATAGAGAAGGCACTTACATGGGCTAATCCTTTATGGGAAAATGATAACCCTTTGGTATACAACTACAACGTTTTTGTTACAGCATTTAGGAGAACCTTTGATTGTCCAGGTAGGAAGGCCAATACAGCCAGATATCTTTTGGGCCTTAGAATTCCGATCCTTGGCTGCAGAGGTTAAGTGAACAATCAGGCGTTTATGGACGTTTTTCTAAATGGTTTGTCTTATGCTATCTTAGATGAGGTGGCCACCAGAGACCTTCCTGAGAATCTAGAGGACCTGATTTCATTCATTTCACATATAGATGAACGCATGAGACAAAATACCAGAGATAGAACCCATAGACATTCTATTAGACTGGCTCCTTCTTTTCAGAACCCTGATTCTATGGCTTTAGCACTTCCCGAACCAATGCAATTAGGGGTTACTCGCCTAACTGAAGCAGAGAAACAGGAGAAGAGAAGGGCTTTGTTTGTTTTGTGGGCAACAAGTCCATCTTCACCTAAACTTCCCTACCAGGCCCGGGAAATGCTTGCACCCAAGTTCCTTTGGAAGAAAGGCCTTGGGTGTTTCTATCATGTCCTCCATATCTAATATGAAAGAACACAGACTTCTAATGCCCATCTCCTTATCATCAGAGAAGGGAACTATAAAAACAGTGGCTTTAACAGATTCAGGAACCGCAGAGAGTTTCATAGATCAGTCCTTTGCTGATAGCCATTCTCTTCCCTCCAGGTTAAGAGCTACACCCTTGGCCATTGAGAGCATAGATGGTAGAACACTTTCGGAGCCTGTGATTTCCCGTGAAACAATACATGTTAAATTAACCATTGGTATCTTACACAAGCAAATTGCCTTACTCCCATTGATCTCCTCTTCAGCCTTTCCAGTGGTCTTAGGGTTTCCCTGGTTGAAGAAACATAACCCCATTATTGACTGGGATAAAGGAGATATAGTATCATGGAACCAAGGGTTTACTGAGGGATGTTTACAGAGAATCAAAACAGTTCTTTTGGTAAACACACCTACTATGTCTCCCCTGTTAACAGAGATACCCCCTCAATTTCTAGACCTTAAGGTAGTTTTCAACAAAAGAAAAGCCGACACATTACCTCCACATAGGTATTATGACTGCATCCTTTTACCAGGTACCATGACTCGGAGAGGTACTATATATCTTCTATCCACTAAAGAGAACCTAGTGTTAGAGGAATACATAAAAAAAAATTTAACCAAAGGGTTTATCAGAAGGTCTTTGTCTCCTGCTGGAGCTGGATTCTTTTTGTATCTAAAAAGGAAGGTAATCTTAGACCTTGTATAGATTACAAGTGTTGTTTGACAAATTAAAGGGCTCCAAGATTTTTACCAAGTTAAACTTAAGAGGGACTTATAACTTGGCAAGAATTTGTGAGGGAGATGAATGGAAAACAGCCTTCAATACTCGTTACAGTCATTACGAGTACACAGTAATGCTGTTCGGACTATGTAATGCCCCAGCTGTTTTCCAGGACCTAATGAATGAGGTGTTAAGGGATTTTCAGCATGAATGCGTTATAGTATATCTGGACAATATACTGATCCATTCCAAGGACAGAAAGACACATCGCAGACAGGCGAAAAAAGTATTGTTAAGGCTTTTACAACATGGGTTGTATTGCACACTGGAAAACTGTTTGACCAATCTCGGATTGTCATCTCCAGTGATGGTTTTATGATGGTCCCTGTTAAGCTTAAATCCATTTTCCAATGGCCTTTACCAAGGAGACTTAAAGCTATACAACGCTTTGTTGGGTTTTCCAATTACTATAGACTCTTCTTTAAAGGGTTTTTGTCCATAGTAGCACCTATAACAAACATAACTAGGAAAGGTGCTAATACCAAGACGTGGTCATCCTCTGCTTTATCTGCTTTTGAAACCCTTAAGAACGCTTTTGCTTCTGCCCCAATATTGCTTCATCCTGACACCACATTACCCTTTTTACTTGAAGTAGACGCATCTGAAACAGGTATAGGGGCAGTTTGTGGGTCTTCTCCCACATGATGGGGACACTCCTTCCATTCCCTCCTCTCATCTCGGCTGTTCAGACGCTGGCTGCGGTAGCTCTGCCCCTTTTAATGATGCAGCACATGCGCACCGATGTAAATGACGTCACGGCCCGCCTAAACTTTTGAATTAGGACGTTTTGGGGGCGTGGTCATCACTTAAAGAGCCAAACTATAAAAAGTACTCACTTGCAATGAATCATTGCCTTGTCGTTGTTCTAGCTTGTCTGTACCTATTGTGCTTAGTCTGGTTTGGTTTATTGGTATTTGATTTAGCTCTGATTTTGATTATTCTGTGTTCTCCTTCCATTTGACTCGGCTTGTTGATTCGCTTACCTTTTTTCTGGCTCCCTGACTATTCTCTGTTCTTTCTGACGTTAGTCCGGCCATTCTAAGGCCCGGTAAACGTTCTTCTATTTTTGCATTCTGCGTATTGGATCCCTTTGTCGATCCTGACAGTTATCACTATACAACTTAGTTCATTTTGCACATGCCACATTGTTTGCACATGTACTTACTGTATTTGCACACTGCACTGTATCATGCCGTATCTGTTATCTTACGCTATTTAGAGAGACCGCGCCAGATACAAACTGCTTGGTGATT